CGTGACAAATTGTGACTAAACACAACCCGCAATGGAGTAGTAGAATTAGTAGATTTTGTACATTTGGTATATGTAGTACACTCAGTATATTTTAACTGAAGCAGAAAAAACTAAACTTATCATGTTCAGATTATATTTCATCTCACAAGCAACGTTTTGTAGACGGCGGGGTCAGGAAATTAGAACTCAGTTTCCCGCTGCAATAGAGTAGTTCATACCGTCATATGTACCTAAAGCAGATATTAATTAGTCTACACGCTCAACTTACACTTGTTCTCACAGGGTATTCAAAGTCTTGTAGACAGCGGGGTCAAGGAATCGGAAATTAGTTTCCAGCTGCAATACAGCCGGCAGAATCTGAAGAAACTACTGATGGCGTATCCCAACAAAGAGGTTAAAAAGGGATTGGTGTCAACGTACAAGAAAGTCGAGAGGGATATGGGTTCAACTAGTAGTCAATTGCAGGTATGTGAGAACTGCCTTTTTAGGGTTCAAGGTTATAGGGGTTTAGGGTCTAGGGTTTTGGGGTGTACTGTGAGAGCTGCGTTGAGTTGAAGTATAAGGTTGTCCGTTTGTTTAGTCACACCATTATGTTGTTCTTATGGTTTAGTTGCATTGTAGTGTTGTTCGTATATTTAGTTGAACTATAATGCTGCAATCTCGTTTGCTTGCACTACAATGTTCATTTATCTAGTTGCACTACAATGCTGTTCTTTGGTTCATTTGATGGCGCAGTTATAGATGACACAACATCTCATTTCCTGAGTGCCCGGTCTCCTCTGCAGTCCGTCACTCGTCTTTATATTCTACACTACTTCAAATGCTATATTGCTTTACCGTTTATGCTTTTGTTCTATTGGCCCACACACACCGAATCAGCTGTATGCATAAAACCAATGTCATAAAACGCACAACACTGTTCCTTCGCCCTAAAACTAACCGCTCCTACACCCGATTCATCAAGCATGACTCACTACTACACATGAGTCATCGAACACGACTCACTACTACACGTGGACCACACACACATTACTATATATATATATATATATACCATATTCATATACATGAATATACAATATAGGAGACATACACAGCACAGGCACAGTACAGTATGACGCCTAGTGCAATGCCCCAATTAATCACAAACACCTTTGGCTTTGAGTACGGTACTTGTGTATCCAAAGCTATGAACCTTTTTTATCCATTGTGGTTGCTTGTGCCGAGATTGCAATTTCGGAGCATTTGCCTCTGCCCTTAGATACACATTAGTGGATAGTTTGCAGTGTATTGGTTTTGGCGTTTGAATCAAATACACACACATTTGCTTTACAATTGAGCCTTGCAATGAATTAGTGACCAGGTATAGAACACACACATATGGTTGTTGACCCGGCAGTTTTCTCTTTTCAATTAATCAGGTGGTCTGGCGGTACATGCAAGATGACTTTATTGCCCAGTACCAGGCGTATGATCAGATAATTCAAAAATGCTACCCCAACACTGGGTTGCAACTGGACTTCACCGTCAAAGACCTGTTGAGTTACTTCTCCAGTATTGCGGCGTCTCATTAAAATAGAAACTTTAAACCCTGCCACAAGCTCTTGTCCGGATACGGGGTGAATGGTGATCTCATGCGTCTACCCCACTTGTGTGTATGTGTGTGCATAAGAGTATAAACTTGAGTCGCATAATATACAAGTGAGTCCATATATATATATATATATATATATATGTGTGTGTGTGTATGTATACAAAAAACATACGCTTAAACATAATATATACGTACATACACATACACGTCACACATATGCATACATACAAATATACAAATATACACCCATAAATTACAAGCATATATAGAAATCCCATTACAAATAAATAATAATAAATATGTTTCTTCATTCCCTTCACCGTAGATTCTAAAATTGAACAAGCCTAATACCCTTCGGAGGGCCTACATTTATTTCCAGCGCAGAAGAAACTGAACAGAGCACCCAAGCTTAGTATAAAAATAAAAATATATTGGACTATCGGTAGAATCGCAAGCGAGATTGTGAACCGTGAGTACTTGTATAAAACCGCTACGGGAAGCTGTGCTGTAGCCGTGCGTTACTGCAGAGAGAAAGATGTGTTCAATGGAAGAAGGATGTCGTACCTCCGTACACCTCTGCTAAAATTTATCCGAAGTATATACCTCCAAACAAGCAGTATCCGAAGATATCCGAAGTATAGGCCAGCAGGCAGAGCAGATGGATATAAATACTACTGATAATAGCGGGAAGAAGAATAGAGGTCAACAACTCTGTGCATGCGCAATTGCGCAGTGGTCTTGTTAACGGAGGGGGATGCGTATGGTCATGGTGCTGCCTTCTCGAGTTCTCAATACAGGCAACACCATAATCACCATGGTTGATACTTGACACATATTTAAGTACGAATTATATTCGAAAGTCATGAGTATCAGTCTGTCAGATTGTCACTGTGTCAGATGAATGTTTTGAACCTACCCGCGGTGTCGATCGATATACTGTGCACAAAATTATAAAGTTAATTCGAAATATCTAATCATTCTTTATTCGTATATACCCACCCCCCAAAGAAGAGATACCGCCCCTCCAGTACAAGCACCTGTCGGTATAGCCAGTCGATTCCAGCACGACAGAGTCCTTGGTCATCTCCGAATAATAACCCACCCGAAGAGATACCGCCCCTCCAGTATAAGCACCCGTCGGTACACGACGGAGTCCTTGGTCATCTCTTCCTATATTGTCCAATAAGTTTTTTGTTTCTACTCACCCCTCTTCGTCAGCGAACACGACTTCGTTCGTGACATTTTCGGTGGATACGGGCTGACGTCTAACCGCGCCGCGTGTTTCTTCATCCACCCTTTACATTTCAGTCCCATACACTGTATACTGTTATTAAGTATATGTATATGTATATGTTATGTATAAGTATAAGTATATGTATATGAAAATG